ATATATTATATATGTATAGAACCATCGCTTTTTTTTAAACTTTTTTTCTTTTAAAATTACGAGTTAAAACATGTTTTAGAAGTCATCACGGCAAAGTTTGATTCAAAAAAGCGCATAAATCGACCATTCAGTTGTGTTAAGAGTCGAAGTTTTTTCATGATGCGAAAAAAAAATTTGCATGTAAGTTTTCTCAGCAATCTTAGGAAAACCTGATCTTACCCTTCCTTAGAAAAAATACATTCAGATATATTTTCCAATATTTTTAGAAAAACATCAAAACGCAGTTTTTTCGGGCCTTTAAGCTTCTTCTTAACATCATAAAAATAGCAGGAGAAAAGAAAAATGTTTTGAGGATTTCATGATAATTACGAGAATTTAAAGGAATTTCTGATAGCTCTGAGAACTTCAAAAACGTCCAGAACTTCGGGAAAATTTTGAAGGACCTTTATATTAAGTTGATGATCTGTGATCTTGATTGAACATCAAAGACTAGTGGGCATATTGAGTACCCAGAATCCATCGGCCTCATCAGAACATGATTATGGTGTACCCGGAAATGGCCCGTTTCTTTAATTCTTACCCAAATCTATCATAAGGCAAATCAAACCGGTCTTCCTGAGTACTCCATAGATCCTGAAATGTTCCAGTGATCAAATCCAGTCTAGAAAAAATACCCGTTGTGCTAGTGATCAAATCTAATGATTTTAAATGATTCAATGATTTGTGATAATAATGAACTACATACACATCCTGCATTTTTTCGGCGATATTGAGGTAAATGGACAAAACCTATACTGCCGCTCATCGCAAGTCGGTCTCATTTGCGGTTTTTGTCAAAACTGAGTTTTTCAATGGAAGTGTTAGCTAATCACCCTTAGATTAGATTCGTTATACTGCATGAACTAAACAACTTTGTTCTGGAAAACTTTGGAAAACAGCCAAACGAGTTGTCCCATTACATAAAAAGCAATGGTATGAAGCTATCTTAAAACTCGTTTTTCTAGGCTTGATGATTTGGGCTATGGGACGGACTTGCCATGAGCGGCAACATTTAATGCGAAAAATTGAATTTATTTGCATTACAATGGCCATATATTACGCTATACAGCCATTCCATAAAAAAAACAATTTAGTGATTCTAATAATTTCGGAACAAAATTACTGATTTTTCAGCTTATTGCCCATTGGTTTACTGAATTCAGATCGCCGACGTTGGTAAAAGTATAACGGAATTTTGAACAGTTGATCATTAAACGTAAAATAAATCAATCAAACGACACATTTTATTGTTGTATAATTAAATAAATGAATAGTTGATGATGCTTAACGTCAAGCATCAGACTAAAAATTTAAAAAGGTAGCTGAGGAGATGAAAGTATACACACTTAGAAATAATTACTTTTACACGAGACTTAATCCATATTGGACGTAAATCATAGAACGTAAACAAACATTTCATGTATAATTAAGTGTTCTCAAACCGAAACATCAGCTAGTCGACGAAGAGAACGTTTGATTGAATTGATTTTCACGTTTCTTTCAACTGATTCTTATGTCAAAAGGCCCGCTTACATGTGTCGGTCTCAGGGAACCGAAATTTACATGACTTTTTAGTAGTGTGTAGAGTTGATAGTTCCTTTAGAGTACAGCGAGATCGGATGAAATTCGATTTTGAAATTTGTGTTAGGGAAAGCGCTTTTCGCGGGCAATCGGTGATTATTTTAACTATCATAGCAACAGTTGCACATTCATGCAGTTTTCAATAGTGATCTTTTAAGATTTGATAAAGTATTAATTTTAACAGATTTGTAGAACAATGTCCTATCGATTGGCGTATTAAGAATTTAAATCCATCATCTCTGGATCAAAATCAGACTACTCTCATGCCGCAACAGACTATGGTTTTTTTTTTTAAATTATACTCCCAATGTTGCTTTTAAAAATACATGGTATGTTAGAATTAAACTTATGGGAACTGACATCCGATTGATGACCTTGATCAATGTTCAGAAAACACTCTTTCAAAAATTTATGGTGGTCCTGATAAGGACCGTTTTGTCGTGATGGTTGAGTAATGCTGAGCTATTAGGGTAGTTTTGTTTCTTAACACATTTTTTTTATTCTACTATTAGGGTGACCATTTCCTTTGTTAGAGTCGCTATATAACAATGGAGATGCATGGTAGTCAAGTCACATAGGAGCAGTGTTGGTAAAATATCAAAAAATCAAATCTCACCAACGCCCAAGATCACGCTTGATTTTCATAGACAAAAATCAACAAGCAAACAACTGCGGTTGATTTTGCAAGCTGTGATATTGCAGCCCGGAATATGAAGCTAACAAAACTCACCAACTGCAAATCTCACCAAACTGTGGTGAGATTGAGTTTAATGATTTTTGCTTTACACCCGAATGCAACCGAAACTTCCATAACGGCTTGCAACAGTCGCTTCGCGTCTGCCATCGGTGAAGATTAAAAATAGATAGCAAACTATGCTTTCTCTTTCTAAGAAAACGATGTGCAATGGAAACCTTTTTGTGTCCAACTAACGACGGTACTAATGGATATTTTTGGTCGCTTTTGAAAATTTAGTCGATTGCTGAATTTATGCATGGGCCCAAATTAGGGGCATTTAGACCGGCATTACATCCATTTGCCTTAGTTGATATTTGGATATGTTATGTAAAAAAGCCTAAATTATCAATGAAAAATATAAAAACATATTAGCCCTCTATCTACAACCATGAAATCCATAACAAACTAATATAATCAATGTTTTCAATACAAAATCTTAATTTCAATAGTTTTAATGTCATTATATTTTTCTATGACATATTTTTATTTACTTTTCATTTAATATTTTCATCTTTGAAATCTGCTCAGTAGTTCATAGTTATGATTTTTTTGAAAAAAGTAATATATGAATGATGAATGATTAATTGATGAAACATGAATTTTTGACCACTCTTACATGTAACTGGTCACCCTAGTGACAAAATAAAAAATAAGGGTCTAATATTTAGCGATAAGAAACAAAACTACCAGTTTTTATGACATTCTGAGATTCACCTGGAACTGGAACAATTGGGGATTATTCTTAGCATATATTTTTATTTTACAAATTGATAGTTCTAAAATCGATGGTCCCTTCGACTTAAGTTTTAACTTAAACATTTACTTTGAAAAACAGTTGAAATTTAAAAAAAATCATTAAAAACTCTCTGATGCATGGTAATTTGAATTTTTTACACAGATTAACACTACCGTATGTTTTCAAGATAATTTATGCAAGAGATAATTTCTCTAGTATATAGTAACAGATCTCATCTAGGAATAGATGTCATTAAGACACAATTTATCAAGAAAGAATTAGATAAATTAATCAGTGTTGGCAAAATCAGAAATAAATTGATATTTTTCCGCTCTCATGCGCTCGCAATATCACGCGTGATATTGGAACAAAATATCATGCTTGATATTGATTTAATAAGCTCCTTTGATATTGAGAGACTATTCACAACATGCAAAAATCGAACTGAGAGTTGACTCGACACAAAAATGATTCCATTGCACATCGTTTTCTTAGAAAGAAAAAGCATAGTTTGCTATCTCTTTTTAATCTTCACCGATGGCAGACGCGAAGGGACTGTTGCAAGCCGTTATGGAAGTTTCGGCTGCATTCGGGTGTAAAGCAAAAATCATTATACTCGATCTCACCACAGTTTGGTGAGATTTGCAGCTGGTGAGTTTTGTTAGCTTGATATTCCGAGCTGCGATATCACAGCTTGCAAAATCAGCCGCAGTAGTTTGCTTGTTGATTTTTGTCTACGAAAATCAAGCGTGATCTTGGGCGTTGGTGAGATTTGATTTTTTGATATTTTCCCAACACTGAAATTAATTGCCATTTAAAAAATGTTAGCCTGTCAAAGTTTCCTAGCGTCAATTCCACTTCACTTCCGACTCCAAGGTACAGATAAAAGGTTATGGTCTTACTAAACTCAACTTTATTTTTAACAATTGTAAAAACAAATGCTTGAAAATCTCAAATATTTACTCTGTTGCTTACATGCTTCCCATGTAAGAGCAGCATGTTTTTTAAACTACCCCCATAATAAAACAATACAATGTGTGCACGGTAACCACACACACGCACAGACCGTTACGTTACGCACATACGAGTTTTTCGTAGACTGTAGTAAAAATAATCAGATCGTAAATTTCTCTTATGGAGCTGAAAATCATTACAACAACACAATTACATGGTGTGTCCCTTGGGTCAAATTTGCAACACATAAATAATTAGAAATTATTACCAAGTCCTCATTTCAAAAGCAGATTCACTAAATTTGAATTTCAAAACACTGTCAGCCTTGTTAAAATAATCGAGTCTTGACATTGTGGTGAAGTTTTCCTTGTTTTGAAGCTTTCAAACTAATGAATTAAAATGCCAAACAGTTGATGAAAGTTCCGTAAAAAATACAGAAGTCGGTAATCATTCCTAAGTGTAGATATACACCTACTTCCATGACCCCAAGTGTGGACGTGGACATACACCTACTTCCATGACCCCAACAAATTCCGAACCTAATTTTTAACAATTACGATGTCATTTTAATTGTTAACAAAGTTCAAAACTTAATGAAACCCTCAAAAGTTGTTTTCTACTTTAAAACAGTCTACAATGCTTTCTCATGAGTCCTCGTAAACCATACTGGCTTTTGGATAATCTCACAGGGCTACAGTAGGTCTGTTACCATCCCACACTTGCTTTTTTGTAAGATTCTGCACAGCAAAATGCAAAAGTATGTTCCACCATATTATTTTCTCACAGCAACTTACAGCAGAAGCAAAACAAAACAAGTACGGGAAATGAACTATTATCCATACCTGATTTACATAGAATTGCAGGACACCGTCAAGTCTCACATAGTGCTATCCTCTGATCAAATTACATTCCTCCCTATGAACTCTCTTTTCCAAGAACATTCACCAAACTTACCATATCGGCAAATTCATTGACACCCATCACAAAGGTGCTCTGACCCTCCTTGTAGATCTTGTTGTGCTCTTCGATTTCCTTCACGTTAGTCTTGAAAGCCCTCTTCCTGCGGTCCATCCGGTATCTGGCTTTGTATCGTTTGTTGAATGTACCCTGCGGGAAAATCAGACACACACTGTTAGCACAGACAACGACGACGACGACGACGGCTTAGAGTGAAAGTGAACGCACCAAGAACGTGTCAAAGTTGGTGATGTTGTCGGGATTCACTCGGTCTTCGAGGTCTGCTGCTACTGCGACAAGTGCTATTTGCACTGTCAGGATCCATAGCAGACACTTTATCATTTTTCACAAGCCACCCACGAAAACCAATCGTAGTTTCGATCCGCGCTGTAAACTGACGCACGTCGTTGGAATTATCACTTGGATCTGACCACGTCATTCGCCAACTGCAGTGCTCGTTGACCGCCGCCGTGGTTAATGATTCTATAAAGGCGGAGTTTTAATTATGTCACGACACTTGCTTGGGTCATCATAACACTGTAGAATCCGATACGGTGCCGGCATGTATGCAAGACGTACACATTTGCTGTTCTAAGCTACCAGTATGGTCTTGGTTGAGTTTCGATGGTTTGTAATGTATGTATATTTTTTCTGATAGGGTAAATGTCGACTTCAGCAACCTAACGCTAATATCACTATATTTTTCAATCAAAACACTTCAAACGATTCCTTGTTATGTCAGATTTTTCTTTAAATGAAATATACGAAGCGTAAAATGAGACTGAATTTGAGTTGCCAATAATAAAACAGCTGGGTCAAATGGAAGGGTTGCCGAAAATAAGGAGACTGCTGACAATAGTCACACTCACCTGAAAAGTTCTGCTCATTGTAAAAACGCTTTAAAACAGTTTTGGACAATTCTGTCGATTGCAATGGATAGAAACGCAAGCCACATGCCAATGTAAACAAACAAACACATCATATGTGTGTGCGTGACGCTGAGAAAATGCTAATAGAAGCACGGACGCTGCTTAGATTGATGGGACTTCGTCAATTTCCCTACCTATTTGAGTAAAAGTATGATTCCTGCTTGAACGATAAAATCGTTTAAAGATCCAGTGACATTGTTGAGCCATGTCTTGCTAGTGCTGTTGCTGACGGCCTCGGAGGCACGATTTTATCGAACGCAAAGTCGAGAGCTGACCTCCTCCCACCCCCCGCAAAGCGAAAGTGATTCCAGCCATCAAAGTTTACCGTTCGTGATTGCAAGCAACGCCATTTGACATTGTCGTCAGCAATAATAATTTCAGATCCCCTCTGCACCGTTGAGTGATTCAACTAAAGTGACTTCCTCTATCTGATCGAGAACAAACTTTCCACATCTGAAAAAGCCTATCGAAGTAATCTGATCCGACTGGTTGTTTCAAAAGCATCGAAAAATTGCAGCATAATAAATTCAAAATGATTCATTGTTTGCACCTCGTCCAAGACGGATCCGCTTTTGCCTCTGCTCGTCTGCCATACTGTCATAAATCTGGTGAGTTTATTATTGGATGCCCGTGGTGACTTGTTGTGGGAGCCAATCAAACTCCGGACCGGGCGGTGCTGCACAACCTAGAACTTGGCAACGATTACTGCCGAAACCTTCGAACATTTATTTTTGGTCTCGTTTGAGAACTGACATAGCCACAATAGCAAGAGCACCTAGCACAGAGTTCCATGAGGTGGTAAAAATAAAACGATTTTCATATTGTAAATGATGTGCTGAAGCACGACAAGAAACTTGAATGCACAGTGGGATTAGCGGTGATAAACTACTAAGATTCCAATTGATTTTTTTTTTCAATATAAGTATTAGTTCTTGGCGCTTGACAGATGACAGATGCGTCATCTGTCATCAGCGATAAGAAGCCGCCACAAAATTGAGCCACTCTAATCTACACAGCAAATCCACGCCAACTGACGAATCTATGATTTTAGCCTCTTTGAGCTCCATGAAACATGCAAATGCAATGGACCAAGTATGTGCTGGAATTCGGCTATTTTGTCTGTAATATAATTTAAAAAAGAATGGTGTATTCGATATTTTTTTAAATAAACCATAGCACGAAAAAATCCCAACTTCAAAATACACATACCTTTAAACATCTAAAAAATGCGTTCATTTGTTTGTATTTGAAATTTTAACAGTATATTTTTGTCATTTTTGACAAAAGTTTGTGATTTATTTTTCAGTGTGTATTTTTTTGAAATTGTAATCCATTTTTCTACAACTTTGCCTCAGCCGTCAAACAGATTTGATGAGCCATTTTTGAGCTATGATTTATTGAGAAGTTCTACAGATTCAACAAAGGATTATACGATGTACCAAAGTAGTATACAATGTCGTGATCGAATTATTGGTCCCTTAGAGCTTCGTGAAGCCCAATAGCATTCTGTAGGATACATAGTTATATTGACAAAATAGCTATGGTTCTACAAACCATCGTGAAGTTTATATCTTCAAGGTCTATAGGCTCAACGGTGTCTTGTACGATGTACCAACAGATTTGTTTAACCCAACCCGCATCATAGAGACCCATAACATCATGTGAGGCATACAACGGTGTTATCAAAATATGTTCCAGTCTCCGAATTATCCTGGAGTTCAGATCATGTCAATCTGTAGAACAAGATTCAACGAGATATTGTACGATGTCTCGACTAAATTTTTGAACCGAAATCATGGAGCCCCATATTATTATGCGGGATATATAGTTCTAATGACAAAATTATTAACAAGTTATTGTGATGATTAGGTCTTGATGTTCATCACGCTCAACAAAGGCTTGTATGATGTCCAGATTTAGTATACGAATCCGTGCAACTCCGTAAGAACGCATAACATCAAGTGACATATTAACTAAATATGATGGAGTTTAGATCTTGATGTTTTACATAACGGGGTTTTATGCGATGAATAAGATAAGTGTTGCATTGCTACCCATTCAATGAAATTTTGAATATTATGAATACTAACACGATTGCTTCTTAAATTTAAAATGGATGGGCTGGGATTTTTTGAAGTCTGGCATTTGAGTATTTGTTTAAAGGTCAAATGTGTCCAATTAAGAATATATTCCTGAAGTAATCAGTTATGTTTTTTAGAACAGTTGGGTTTTTGAACTTTAGATTTCATTTACATGAGCAAACAACAGCAGTAATTTTTAATACGTTTATATTCATTTATTTTTTTATTGATGACACTATGCTTTATGGTGCCAAGTCTTTCGTTCAATAGTATTATCTTACTTACTTAATTCATGCTTCTGCAGTATAGACCCGATTTTGGCGACACGTTTACATTGTGTACATTTCGGGATTCAACCTTATTTAATATTATTCTTTTAATTTTTGTTGTTATTAAATGCTTCTTTATAAAAAGAAATCATATTAAATGTTTCTATATCGTATCTCATTCCATTTATTATCAAATTGCAGAATACAGGTTCATAAGTTGAAATAGATGTGGATCTTTACTATTTCTACATACTTCTTTATATTGTTTTACGTTTTTAATGTTTCTGGAATGCACGAGGCGTTGATTCAACTATGCCTTTACCGGATGATCTTAGCGAGGGACCAGTTTATTGTACACTTCAACATGGATCTCATGGATCAAACAATGTTGAAATTCAAATAAAACAAGGATAATCGATCCATTCAAAAGAAATCCTAAAACATATCTGAAATATTGCATTTATCGATATCAATTATTCATGCTTCTGCCAGCACACAGAGGAGAAACTGGAACAAAAACCTGGCCAAAATAAGAAAACAAGATTTTCTTGATTTTTCATGCTTCTTTATTTTTTTTTATATATTTCAATATATGTAGCATAAAGTAACAACGAAATAAAAACGTTACATTTTGTGTACAAATTTTGAGACGTGTTCAAAAGCTGAAGAAATTCGAAGCTTCTTGTTTTCCAAAAAGTAACCATGTAATAATTACGCCTACCAGATATAAACAATTTGATCAAGAGACAAGTATTATAATAAAATGGGTACTTTGGGCTCTCTTCTAACAAGTTATGAGATAAAAACCTTTACATTTAAATAATGTCTTATTTTTTCAACAATATGAAAAAAAATGTATTTTTTATGTTTTTTTGTGCTGTTTCAGACTTGAAAAAGTTGTAGAATCTTGCGCTATCAGATCATATAATCTATGGACGAATGAAAGTTCACGTTATTATGAACACATTGGCATTAGAATTTCGTCCGGAGTCGTCCGGATTTGCGATTGCGAGCCATTTGGCATGTTTTGCATCATTTCGTGGCAAAATTTTATCCCTTTATAAGGCCATACTTCCAGAAAACTTCCGTAACACAACGGTTTTCTGCAGATACCTATGACAAACTTACCGAGTACTGTGTGTGTGTGTGTGTGTGTGTGTGTGTGTGTGTGTGTGTGTGTGTGTGTGTGTGTCTGTGTGTGTGTGCGTGTGTGTGTGTGTGTGTGTGTGTGTGTGTGTGTGTGTGTGTGTGTGTGTGTGTGTGTGTGTGTGTGTGTGTGTGTGTGTGTGTGTGTGTGTGTGTGTGCGTGTGTGTGTGTGTGTGTGCGTGTGTGTGTGTGTGTGTGTGTGTGTGTGTGTGTGTGTGTGTATGTGTGTGTGTGTATGTGTGTGTGTGTGTGTGTGTGTGTGTGTGTGTGTGTGTGTGTGTGCGTGTGTGTGTGTGTGTGTGTGTGTGTGTGTGTGTGTGTGTGTGTGTGTATGTGTGTGTGTGTGTGTGTGTGTGTGTGTGTGTGTGTGTGTGTGTGTGTGTGTGCGTGTGTGTGTGTGTGTGTGTGTGTGTGTGTGTGTCTGTGTGTGTGTGTGTGTGTGTGTGTGTGTGTGTGTGTGTGTGTGTGTGTGTGTGTGTGTGACAACCTTACCCCCACTGTCCGGCAGTGTTATTATGGAAGAAAACTGCTTTTTATTACCCTTAAATTAAAGCAGGTTTAGTCCGGGAGTTAGAAGGTGTTAGCTCTATTGCAGCTCCAGTGACCCATTTCAGAATACCTGGTAATTCATGACCACTCCGAGGTTACTTTTACTTACAATAAGCCCCGCATGTTCACTCTACCTTTATCAAATGGATAATGGTGTCATAAACACACTTCCAGATTCAAAAAATATTATTTCCAAATCTGGCACGTATATAGTTTTGAAATTTGTTCAACTGTATTAAATCGATTTGAATGGACATTTCTTATCAATTTTGTTTCGAATACCTCCTGATTCATCTGCTGGCAGCACTTACTGGCCCTTACCGCCGACCAACTCATCTGCCCGCAAATGCAACAACGCCTAAATCTCAAAGCTCTCTGAACGTCCCCTCGAAAATGCAAACGAGATATGTATATGAACAATCTTCAACTGGAACGTACTCACCAAATCAA